CATCGGAACCGACTTAGGCTAAGCTCGGACCATACCTGGACGGTGACCAGCCATTTGCTTGGTTACTGATCAGTTGGAAGAGAGTGGTGGAAACAGCAAGGGAGGCTATTGGGTAGTAGGGACAAGGTGGGCTGTGGAACCTGAGGCTGTGGGTGGGAGCTCTTGGATCGTTCTGCTGTCCCGGAGCTTCGACCGGAGGTGACGGAGCGCGCACTCGTTCCTCACCCCCCTCCTGAGAGTGAGCGGGAGTGAGTAGAGTAAGGCAAGAAGAGAGGGGTCGGAGTTTACAGCATAGCCCTAAAGCTGCCGTCGGCACTGATGCGGGTCACGCGTTGAAACGAAATTGGCCACGCCATGCACACGGGCTGGGGTGGATCTTAGAACTGTGGCCCCTTGAATGGGAACAGAACCATTTTAAACTTCGTGTAGCAACAAGAATACTCGAATTGGATTCTGAGGGGGCAGTGAACCCATGGAAACACACTAACACTCACGGTTACTCTAGCAACTCTGTTGTCTAGTACTTTTTCTTTATGACTGCCATCTCTTGTAAACTTGTTCGTCTGGGGTAGGTGATGGGAACTCCTCAGCAAGCGAAAAAGGCATAACGTAACCTTCAAGATTACACTCAGGCAACCCACAAGACAACATCGTCGACATGAAAGTGTTCGAAAACGAAGGGGACCCACGCTTCCGGTATTTCATTGCCGTGGGAATGTCGGAAGATTTTCGATGTAGCTCCTCCTCATGCTCAAGTGGACATCATGAGCATAGACTGCCCTGAGTCATCAAGCAATCCAGACCTAAACTGGGTACTAACTAAACCTCATAGACCCTGTGTAATCGTTCTTGCGCGATACGAACTTGGTACATCGTAATCCATCCAAATCACACAATCCTCACCATCGTCGAATAAGGACATCGAATACCATACTGTGACTAACCCCATCCCCTTCAAGCTTATGATTACTACTATTCTCAATCTCTTTCGTTCGACTCCCTACAAAACGTCGCAATTGTTATATCAATGTAACTATTTCAACCAACTTCGAACGACCACATGTTAATCAGTTGTCAAAAGACACTACATAGTCGTAGTCGTCGGTTAGATTCGCGTGACCTAGCTACACCCATACAATTATAGCATTTTAGTAACACTGTGGATTTATTCCTCCTTCTATGCCTACACATACATTTAGACCTCAAGTGAAACAAAACCCATAACTAGTATCCTAAAGTCACCGGATAGTGACTTAGTCTAACTCACGTGGATGACAACGGTTGCTCCTGCCATTAAAGTGCCCCCATACATGACATTTGGACTTTACCATCGTCATCACTCTTTTCTAATCTATTGTGGATACCCGGCTGTTGCTGGATTGCTCAAGAATGGTGGTTCACAAACATGCTTCATGAAATTCACTCAACCCTCACTTACTGATTCCTTATGCATGCCAATCCCACCTCCTCCCTGTGAGCCGATAATTACTACCATTCCTTTTGGTCGACCTCCCCCCACTAACACTCTAAATCCCTTGAACTCACGACACCACATCGTTGCCCACAGTACAAGACAACAGACGTTCGTCACCCTACCGCCAACTCCACACAAACAATCAACAATATATCAGTCGGCCTCTTCCTCACAGCGACACCGCACAAATACCCCCATCCCATCACGACCGGTTGTCCCAATGGACTCACGCGGAATGTACAGAAAAACGATCTCCGAATTTCACGGATCAGGCGCTATAATCCTAATCTTCTTACTGTCCCAAGACAACAGCTGATCACGTAGGCCTCCACCACGCAAACAGGTTGACGAAGACAGTGCCCATACCTGGCAACAAACTCTGTTCCCTCCTCTTGAATGAATGGTAGCTACAGAAGTACACTGTACTGAAAATATCATGCTCCCGAACACTGCACATACCTAACGGACACACTCTAAGCTTAACTGATCCATCACCCACACGCTCGTACCAGCAATTAAGGTGAATTTCAAAAGACAGGTGACCCACAAAAACCTCAGCTTAACAACAAAAAACATACCAGCTGGCCCACACATACACCACCAAGCTACATACCCGTGCGCAGGCCGTGACTGGCCGGAATGTGGGGTAATACAAGACGCACGACCAAGTAAATTTCCTGGAACCTACATCTATCCAAGATTAACCCACGCTGATCACCACCGTCAGTCGAACGGGGCCACCCGTACACGACGAACACTGACAACCTCCTGGCTAATTGAACACCCGATCAGTGCTTCACTGCGTGATAGTATATTGCCACCTATGCACACGCAATACAAATTAACTCATACAAATCTGTAGCGCGAAAACGCATCCCTTAGCGACAACACAAAAGATGCTATAAAAGTTATCCTCGCGTGCTTAGCTGAAGGTTATAGGTGGTGGACTCCAGCAGGGAATTCGAGCGATTTTTGCCAACACTGCTTTGAATACTCAAACCGACGCGTTTCATCCACCAACAATAGTTGGACTTCAATTCAAAACTACATACAATGGAACAACGACCACAGTCTCTAGATTGTCTCAAACACCAACAACAACGCCAGCCGTAACTCACACATAGTTCATCTCTTGTCCATAACGCGTTCCACTAGGCACCAGGCTAGCAGCATGAAAACGCCGTAAAACTTGGGTCATGTAGGGTTGCGATGGAATTAAAGATGGAATGGGCTCGTATGTGTTCCATTACTGTTGCTATCGATTCACCCAATCCCATATGTTTCGTAAAACTAGCAACGTGGCGTTGACTCAGCTCACTCGAGGAATGGTGGTAACCCTCTGTGCGTCATTGATTATTCACTGAAATCCTCAGCCTCCCAATATGAGTAGGTCTCTGTCCATAGAAGGGGAACTAGCAATTCCGATGCTATCAACGTGGAGTATAGTAGTTCCATAGAGACGGACTCCCATTGCCGACTCACATCACGCACTATGTCGCTTCCCCCTAACATCTAGGAACTTTACCACAACTATAATGGGCCCTGACCTTAACAAGCGGGTGGGCGACACGGGGGGAAGGGGCAGAGTGGGCAGATATTTTGATCAAGCTGCCGACGTGCCAAAGTGCACACACCCAATCTGCCTCTTAACCAGATCACGATATGAATATTTTCATCATTTGCATACACAATCTACAACAACCCACTACAGCTGACCACCCCCGGTTAACCCCATAGCAAACGACACCCTAACACCCAACCGCGTAGAACGACGACACAATGGGTACTGGGTGCTGTAGCGTAGATGCTACTATTCCAAACTAGACCCCGAGCAGGCTGGCCTCAGATGTGACATCGTCATCCGCACACAGTGCCCTGGTAGCACACACATATCTCGACGTCCCGGCCAAGCACAACAGCATTCCCACCCCCAGTGTGGCCATAATCACCACCGCCCTACACCGGAACAATCGCGCCGGACGTCAAGCGGAACATAACAATACTGCGAGACCTCCCATTCACACATGACATCATCGAATATCCCACACAGTCATCCAACATCCTCTCGACACTTACTCTCCCCAAATAGATGCTCTCAATCTCAGAAACAAAGTTTGTGAGAAAATAAAGGCTAATAAGTTCGTACCCCATGCCAAACCATACGATTCTCCGGCAAGTTGGCCGTTGATAAAATTATCTAAAGGATATGACTCAATATATGGTGTGGAAAAACAATCTCAAAAAAAATGGGATGGATACATGAACTCCCTCCTAATAAGTACCTCCACCCACAAAAGTCCACACAAAATAAAAAATAATCCGTATATAACAAAGTAGGAGGGGGGGGTGAACGGCATAGCTGTGCAGTCAAAGAACACCATACCATAAGGACGTTTAGTTTAAAACTGACTGACCAACAGGCAGCCTGTCGCAGTGTTGTGTCCTCCATCATTACCAACATGGTCTCCCATCCATTATAAAGGTACACCTCCATGCAAAGGACTTTATCATGGCTCCTGGTGTCTCTCTATTATATAGTACGCAAGTTCCAGTGCATAGCAGCAACTGAATAAGAAGTACTGAGCTGATGTCAGTGTGTGATCTTGAGGGTATGTTTGTACACAGTAGACTGCCAGCTATCAGTCAGGAATCTACCGCACTTCACATCATTCGTGGCACCTCCTCCACTCTGAGAGGGTGTACTATAGCTGGGCCCATGACCTCATCCTTAATGTAAACTCGTAAGGCAAACTTTACTACTCTCGTATACACATATATACTATAGTGGAACATCCTAATAAAAACAAGGTAGTTTTTATTATTATCTAACCAACTGCACACTCAGTGGAACTTAGCAAGCTTACATATGCACGTAATACCAGCTAAGTATGTAAACGTACCTTCGATTAAGGACCATATTCCCGAGTTTTAAATCTCTGTGAACAATGTTTTTCTGCGGAAAAGTGGAACACAAACACGCCTTAAAAATGAAGTGATTATTTTGTTAACTGACTTCCAATCATACACCATAATGCAACTCTGGATTAGAGGGGTTCCATTGTAAGTATGCCCTTTAGGCAAAGTGGAATACGGTAAAAACTCTTACAATGTACACCCAGAATAAAGGAGTTTTTTAAATCTGAATGCAGGACAGACAGGCACTAACACCTAATACTGTAACGATAGCTGCCAATGAAGCCGGCACAGGCGCCCAGTGGTGGATCTACAGGATTTTGAAAGGGGAGGTTCCGCTGTCCAGAACGTTTTCGACTGTGCTCGAGGCCGGCGATGCATGCGCGCAAAACGACAAAAAGGGGGGTTCCGCGGAACCCAAGGAACCCCCCCTGGATCCGCCATTGGCGCCTATGGTTAAGTCTAACCGATAACCAGGTAAGAATGCATTGTATGTAGGCTAACAGTTTTTCAACACAGAGAGACTCTGCAGAAGCCCTCGGCTCTAAGGGTTGTTTTGGCTACAATTGAGCAAATAAACAAGGTGTAAAATATAAACTACTTCGGCTGGGACTGATTAAATTACGGTCATATTGTTTATGTATGTGCTAGACAACGGGCATATCAGAAGTAGGTGTTAAAATGCATGCATGCCTTCTTCCTGAAATGTCGGTGCTAGTGGAGATAGGCCGATGATGACCAACTTTTCTGAATTGCATGTGTGTTTACAATTACATGTATATAGGGTTAACTGTTGTTCCAAAGAGCTTTCGGTTTCTCGTTGCAAACGACGTTTGTTGTTGTTGGAAGTAACACACAAAATATGTTGCGCAATTCTGCTTCGTTTTTTCTCAACAGAAGGTGAAAGTTTACACGTACAGTGAGATATTTACACTGCAAAGCCCGGATACCTTTTCTGGGAAAATATGTTTCATAAGGATATTGAAGACGTATGTACTAGGGGGAATTATAATTATATCGATTTATAATTCTTTTTTGGTACACTACATGCCTGGGACCGTTAAACTTTACCACAACCTGCCGACACATCAAAATTTGGCCCTAATCTTTACGTGAGCTTAGAGTTTTCCCTAGCAACAATATAGAGGTCATTCTAAGATAAGGAAGCCAGCTGCAGATGATCATAGCAGACATACTGCACCTAAAGTCTGTATATATTATATAGAAAACTGCCAAGTGTCCACCTCATACGTTTGAATCGCACTCCACCACACACTACTAGGGCCATCTACCAGGAACACACACACTGTAGCTGTGAAGATTATACCCAGAGGCTTCTCCAGAGCAAACAATGGCAAACTGTGTGCAGGCAGGAATGCCTCGGAATGTGACAGACCAGCAAAACTCCAGGAATCCGGTGGATACAGACACAATAGGGACACACAGGTGTAGTCTCGCGGACCTGATGTTGACAATATTTCAGATAAACTCCAGGTCTGCGGTCGAGACAGGGTAAATAAATACAGACTGCACTGGGATACAAGCTGCACGCAACCAGAGTGTTACGTAGCAGATGGACACTCGCACGGAAAAGTGAAAGCTATACACACGCTCCATTGTTTTCTAAGCTGATTGTATGTCAATCGTATGCACTGAAGACACTCGGTATACATAGACAGTGGCGGATCCAGAAGCTTCTACAAGGGGGGGTTCCTGCCAATCGTGGACACTGATGGCAACGCCCCCCCCTCAACGAAAGATCCTATGGAAGAGCTTCCGGATGATGTTCGTCGTAGCTAGGTTCGCTATTGGTGTTGATACGCTGCCGTTTCGCCGCGCTAGGTTGACAGAACGTTGACAACTTTGTTTGCCTGCTCATATCGATCAACGCGGCCAGTTGTTGCACGCACGCGTGGTCTGAGCAAGAGTACATGGGAAGGACCTCGAGGGGGGGTTTCAGAACCCCAAGAACCCCCTAAATCCACAAATTGATAGACAATTGGTTTTGAGCTAAGCTATAAGTTCATAGCAATCCTGTGTGCAACAGCCTCCACGTGGTGCGAGTTGAGGCCTCACTGGTGAGCCAATCAGCTCAGCTGGCCAAACTTGAGTAATTCGGCATTAGCTCACGCAACTCAGCTATTCTACCACGGCACGGTCCACCGTATATCCCAGCATTAGCTCAGCAGGCTGGGAATCTCATCAGATGTAAGCACCCAATTCACTGGTACACATTAATTACGGCACGCAACACCTGTTGTTAATCCAAAGTAGCACAGACGGGCACTAAAATCAGCACAGACGGACATTAAAGGTAATTAGAGACAGTCAGAAGCAAGTTAGGGTCCAGTATAATTGCAAGAAGGTATGATCTAAGCAGCAAAGTATGGGCACTGTACTGTGAGTCACCGATGTAGTATGACAAGAGTGTAGATTCAACAGTTATGTCTTGTCTGAAGAGTTTACAGTGAAGAATGCAGGAAAATGGAGTCAGCGCCACTTTATACACTTGAGTGTTAATCACACAGGCAGCTACATAATAGTGTGTATATCGTACTGCATTTATACAGTGGAAACATGATCCAGAGACCAATGGCACACAGTAGAAAAACAAGGTGTCTTTATTTCAGGGGCGATATTTCTTGCAATGAACTTTTCTTGTGGAAAGAAAAGGTGTCCCTATTAGACAGGCGTCCTCATTTCAGGGGTGTCCTTAGAGAGAGGGGTTCCACTGTACATAGTGTAAATATTAGGCAATGGGTTCTCCATGAGCGTTAAGTGTTCCTATTAACGTCATAGTCAGTGGTATCTGAAAGAGGGCTTTGTTGGTAAACCTGTTTCCAATCCTGCAAGCTTCAAACGCTGGCTGAAATTCCAACACGAAAACAGAGCTAACTGTGGAGCATTCCCACGGCACTGACACGTCACATCATATCAACAGCTCTCAAAATAACAGGGTGTCAGCACAAAGTGCGCTCGACTTGTTTGCCTTGCCTTTCTACCTCCTTGTTGACACATATCAAGCGTCACACAGGATACCATTTTTACGGAGAAAGAGCTGCTCTGGGTGAGACTCGAACCCACGACACTCTGCTCTCTAGGCACTCTACCGACTAAGCTAACGGGGCACCTTAGCTACCAGGGACAGATGTTGGAGGAAGCTCCCTACGACAACCGGGAACAAGAGGAAAGGAAAAGGGAAGAGCTGCCCTGGGTGGGACTCAAACCAGCGACACTCTGCCTTCTAGACAGTGCGTTCGATCTACTGAGCTAGGCATGTAGTTGACTCGTTCGTTGCATACACCTTTGCATTTTTACCTGGTAGTTGACACACCAGGGCAGCTCAGGAGGCAGGGCTCAACGGCTACTCTACAATACAACACATCACAACTAAGGCAAAGGCACACCCCCAAATACGTACCCTGCGTTATGGCACAGAAACTGGTGACAAACACAATCTGCTTAGAATATTTGCAAGTGTGTACTCCGCATGCGCACTGCATCATAATAATTATTATAATAATTTATTTCTGGTGAATAGCAATGATTTCTGTAACCATGTGCCCCTGAGTACAGGAAAAGATGCGATGATTACATCTTAACACCTTTCCTGTGGGACGCTGACTCGATTAGCGCACCCACTGGCAGTCATGGCGACCCTGCCCACTGAGACATCTGGTTTCATATCCTCCCGGCATTTGGTCATAAATTATGTCTCCACCCAAACCCTTAGTGAGTAGTTTTCTCATTTGCCCACTGTTTAGTAGCAATTATAATATGAGAAAAGTAGGCATTATACTTTAAAGGAGGGGCTTACAAAGGAGGACAATGTAATCTAGTATTTGTTATACAGCATTGCTATTGATAAAAATCTAATCAGACTGCCCATCAGTGAGATCATATCATTCAGTAGTAAACTGTAACAACAGATAATACTTCCTGGCTAACCTTGTAAACATCACTTACGTACACAACCCATATTGCTAACACAGTGTAATATACATAGAGAAGGAAGTTCCACTGGCCATCAAGATCTTCTTTCTACAGCACTCCCCCTCACATCCCCCCCCTCACATCCCCACCCACACTGGTATATAGGTATTATAAATTGCTCAACTGCTCAAGCTACCCTAATGGGAAGCAAGAGCTCCCATACTTACCAGAGGGTTTTATAACTTACTCACCTATATAATATAATTGTGATACAACCTCCAACCCCCAGTATGTGCTACATGCTTGGCACATTAACGATTGTATCTGGGTTGGAACTAATAATCCCTTTAATGGTGTATCGTGTATATACCAAACAATCCTGGGTTGGTGAGGTCTCTAGAGTTTACAACTAATAATCCCTTTAATGGTGTATCATGTACCAAACAATCCTGGTTGGTAAGGTCTCTAGTTTACATTCCCTTCTTTTCCTTGTGCACACGTAATGCTGCTGGTTCAAGGGTTGTGTAACACATTAGATGCATGGTGTGGTATATACTGTAGCAGTGTTCTCACATTTCAGGTCCAGCTTTTCAGTTCTGGCCTTACTCTCAAGTAAAATTATACTCTCAAGTAGTACTTAGAGATCCTCACGTTGCAATAGTATATTGCAGGAGAGGTAGTCTGACACTGGGTGGCCCAGAAAGCTAGGGTTGTACTACATATCCCGGTTGTCTACTAGTCTACTGTCAATGTATTATGGTCCTGAAGATCATGTGCTCATCAGTGGCCCATCACCATTTCTTCAATGCCGAGAATGCACTTTGCCATACTTCGTAGCATTATTCTACACTTCACATAATGCGTAACCTCTCATTGGAAAATCAAGACCAGCCAATGAACTGCCTCTTGAAAAAGGGAAAAAAGGCCGAAGATCATGAATATTCGTCAGAAAAATGTACATTTCACTTCAGATTTTACACAACCATCCTAAGTATCGATCTCCTTATCAAATTTCCATATCCTTTCTCTACACCTATAGCTGTAATGTACTAATACATCATTATAATACATAGGAGCGTGGGGAAATAATGGCACAGTCACAGAGTA